GATTGTTTTTTATTTTTCCTGTTCCCACTACAATATAAAGTCCCTGAGAACAAGAATTTATCTATGCTGCTAATCATTGTAGCTAAAATATCTAAAATATTTCAAGGTATAATTATAAGCTTTTGAATAAATAAATGAATATATAAATCTGCCAGGAAAATGAGGAGTGAAAATAACATAATCCTTTGATCTAGCACAGGAAGGATGAGGACAGCTTACTTGAGAGCCTGCGATGGGGTAATGGTTTGGAACATTCTAGATAAAAGGCATAGCAAATGCAGAAAGCATAATACATGTTTAGGGGAACATCACAGGGTGACTTTCTGAGTGGGCTATTTTTATATGTAGTAAATGGAAATGTGTGTTTAAAATAAAGGCAGTTGCATTTATTCAGTGACAAGTCTCAGATTACTTGTATTATGTTCTCTTTATTTCATGTGTAGAAAGAAAACTTGTTTTCCTCTAAAATACCAGCTCAGGATTCTAACACTTATCCATTCTCCTGCAACCTTCTCCAGTTCAGGGCTGTACAAGCAGATATTGTTCAACACTTACTTATAGTACTTGGTATTATGTATGTCTGGTTTCTTAAGTGTGTGCATCATACTTATCTAGGTTTGTTTATGTTTTAATACAGATTCCTGGGATCCTCTTCTAAAACATTAAAACAGAAGGTCTGGGCTAATTAACTAGCTGGCTCCCTAAGTGAGTCAGATGCACAGCAGATGTGGGAACTACTGAATTCTAATCTGAACCCATGTGTATTAGTCAGAGTTCTCTAGAGGGAGAATGATAGATGTATATATAAAAGGGAGTTTATTAAGGAGTATTCATTCACAAGCTCACAAGGTGAAGCCTCACAGTAGGCCATCTGCAAGACGAAGAACAAGGAAGCCAGTCTGAGTCCTTGAACCTGAAAAGTAGGGAAGCCAACAGTGCAGCTGCCAGTCTGTGGTTGAAGGCCCAAGAGCCCCTGGCAAACCACTGGTGTAAATCCAAGAGTGCAAAAGCTGAAGAACTTGGAGTCTGATGTTCGAGGGCAGGAAGTATCCAGCACAGGAGAAAGATGAAGACTGGAAGACTAGTCCTTCCACATTCTTCTGCCTGCTTTAATTCTAGCCACGGTGGCAGCTGAATAGATGGTGCTCACTGTGGTTGAGGGTGGGTCTGCCTCTCCCAGTCCACTGACTCAAATGTTAATCTCCTCTGACAACACCCTCACAGACACACCCAGGAACAATACTTTGCATCCTTCAATCCAATCAAGTTGACACTCAGTATTAACCATCACACCTTGCTAACCAAAGTGTGGTCTACCAACAGCATTGACATCACCTAGAAACTTATTAGAAAATTTGAATTTCAGGTTCCATCCCAGATATGCTGAATCAGAATCTAAACTTTTATAAGATCCTACATAATTTATATGAGCTTTAATAATTGTAGTAAGAACACAACATAAAATTTACTTTCTTAAATGTTTAAATGTGCAAGACTATTGTTAACTGTAGGCACAATGTGGTGCAGCAGATCTCTAGAACTTATTCATCTGGCATAACTGAAACTTACATCCATTCATTGGCAATTTCCCTTTTCTCCCTGACTCCACAACCTGAAAACCACCATTCTCCTTCCTAATTTTCTGAGTTTGGCTGTTTTAGATACCTCACGTAATTGGAATCATGCAGAATTCGTCCTATTGTGACTGGCTTATTTCACTCGGCATAACGTCTTTGAGGTTCATCCATGTTGTTGCATATTATGGGAATTCCTTATATTTAAGGTGGAATAATATTCCATTGTATGAGGATGGCTATTATGTTTTTAAAAAGACAACAAGTGTTGGTAGAGATGTAGAGAAAATTGAATTCTTGCATACTGGTGATGAGAATGCAAAATGGTGCAGCCACTATAGAAAACATTATGGAGATTTCTCAAAAAATTAAAAATGGAACCACCATATGATCCAGCAATCCCACTTCCAGGTGTTTCTCCAAAACAATGAAAATCAGAATCTTGAAGAGATATTAGGACCCAAATGTTCAATACAGCACAACTGACAATAGTCAAAGTGTGAACGCAATCTAAATATCTATGGAAGGATAAATGGATACAAAAAAATGTGGTATATATTACTAGACACATATGAACTTTTAAATTCGAGAAGCAAATTCTGATCCAAACCACTGTGCTCCTAGACCCTTAGCAGCAACACCTCCTGGGAACTTTTTAGAAATGCAAATTATTTGCCTCACCCTAGATCTGAATCAGAACTCCTCTGTTTTAACAAACCTTGAACACTCAAGTTTGAAAAACATTCATCTAAACCATTATCCTGTCTTTGAATCACTGATCCACAACTTTACCCTGCCTTTAGCAGTGACCTTTTCTAATTTTAAAGACCACCCCCGTTCTACCTCTAAAGTCAGTGGAAATTCAGGAGGGCCAGAGAAGGACGAATAATAATAATAATAATAATAATAAATCTATTGTATTACATACATACGGAACAAAATGCTGCACTTTGTCCAAAAATTGGAGGATTTCCATTTTTTTCCCCCAAACTGTACATGGGTTTGGAAGGGCTAATTGGGCAGATATAAAAGCCATGTACTGGTTGGCCATACTTCCTTAGAGGCACATCTGTGGTTTTTCAATAGCTCTTCTAGAAAAAGGTTTTACTCCCACCTTGACTTCTAAATTTTAAAATGCCTCCATCTCTGAAAAATACTTTTCAATAATTGTCAATTAGAGTGAGGATAGTAGGGTAAGCAGCTGCTTTAGTTTATTTAAGGAAGCGGCCAGAGGATGTCAGCTCCAGGTGTTTCTAAATATTAAGGTGATGGGGTGCATCCCTCAGCTTTATAAATGGAGAAAGCAAGGGGCTGTCCTCCATGTTTCTTCTTTAAAACAAAAACCCACAAGGCTACTACTTTCCAATCGATTTCCTAGGATTTATCTTAGAACATTTATATCTAATCCAAACACTACCAGATGAAGGCTGAAAAAGGATTGTTAGAGAAGTAAAATAAGATGGCTTCAGAGTCCCTGTGTCTTCTTTCTCAAACTCCTTCCATATTTTAAATGCTAAAGCATGATTAGCTTTTAAACAGACTATTTTGTGTGTGTGTGTGTGTGTGTGTATCTAAGGTATACAACATGATGTTTTGATATAGTGAAATAGTTACTAGAGTTAAGCAAATTAACATGTCCATCATCTCACATAGTTACACAATTTTTTTTCTTTTTTCTTTTTTTTTTTTTTTTTGAGATGATCTTGCTCTGTCGCCCATGTGGAATACAGTGGTGCGACTAAGCTCACTCAGCCTCCTGGGTAGCTGGGACTACAGGTGGGTGCACCACACCCAGCTGCATTTTTTTTTTAATGGTAACAGCACTTATATTCCACTCTCTTAGCAAATTTCTAGTTTACAATACAATATTTTTAACTATAACGGTCATGCTACATTAGATCTTTAGGACTTACTCATCCTATATAACTGCAACTTTGTACACTTTGACCTGAATCATTCTGTTTCTTCCCTGTCCCTGGTAACCACCACTGATTCCATGTATTCTCTCTCTCTCTCTCTCTCTCTCTCTCTCTCTCTTTCTCGTGTGTGTGTGTGTGTGTGTGATTCCACATATAAGTGATATGGCACAGTGGTTTTCTTTTCGTGTCTGGCTTATTTCGCTTAGCATAATGTCTTCCAGGTTTATACATGTTGTTGCAAATGTCAGGGTCGCCTTCTAAAGGCTGACATTCCATTGTGTGTGTGTGTCTGTGCGTCAGTGAATACGCACACGTGCATGCATATGTATATATCACAATTTCTTTATCCATTAATCGTTAACAGACACTGGTTGTTTCCAAATCTTCACAACTGTGAATAATGCTGCATGAACTTGAAAGTGATTTCTATGAGATCCTGATTTCATTTCCTTTGGGTATACACCCAGAAGAGGGATGGCTGGGTCACTGGCTTTAGCAACGATTTTTGCGATATCACACCAAAAGCCCAGGCAACCAAAGCAAACCTAGATAAATGGGACTTCATCCAACTAAAATGCTTCTGCACCGCATAGGAAATAATCAACAAAATGGAAAAAAAAAAAAAAAAACAAAAAACCCCGCCTATAGATTGGGAGAAAATATTTGTGAGCCATATATCTGATAAGGGGTTAATATCCAAAATACATTAAGTTCACACAACTTAGCCAAAATAAATAAATTAATTAATAAAACACCCAATTAACTAATGGGCAAAGGATCTGAATGGACTTTTTCAGACGAAGTACAAATGACCAACAGGTATAAGAAAAGGCGCTCAAAATCACTAATGAACAGGGAAATGCAAACCAGAGCCACTAGGTATCTCCACACATCTGCTAGGATGACTTATGAAAAAGATAAGCGATAAGTGTCGGTGATGCGCGGAGCAAAGGGAACCCTGTACACTGGTGATGGGAATGTGCACTGGAACAGCCATTACGGAAAACCCTACAGAGGTTCACTCAAAAAGTTAAAAACAGAACTACCAGGCCAGTGTTACCCGTCCTTTGTTAAGTTCAAAGTCACGGTGCCACTTCCTTTCCCATCTAAAGGGGACTGCTGGCGACCCAGGGCAAGGCCCGCAGGTGTGGCTTTCCCTGCGGGGACAGTAGGACAGGATGTGGATTTCCAGGCCAGCGGCTTCCAAGTTGGGCCCAGACGCTAGGCCGATTCAGGCCCCGGGCCGGCTCAGCCGCCTCGGCGCCTCCTCAGGGCCCCAGTGAACCTCCGACGCCCACGAAGGCTCCAGGCCGGCTCTCCAGAGGCCCACCAGCGGGCGGCTGGGCCTCCCTCCGCGCCGCGACCGCCAGGAGGCGCCGCCCGGGAGAGGAAGTCCACTTGGGCCCGGCCGGGCTTGGGGGGCGCAGGGAGTGGCGGGAGCCACCTAGCGCAGGGTCCTCCCCAGGCTGGCGCCAGGCCTTGCCCCCGTCCAGCCCCGCCCGGGTCGCGAGCACTGGCGGGTTCCGGGTCCTGTGACCGGTCAGGCGGCGTCAGCGGGCGCGGCGGAGGGCGGGCCGGCCTCGGGGGAGTTTCCGCGGCCGCCGGGGGCGGGGCGGGAGAGCGCGAGGTCGGGCGGGAGGCCAGACTCGGAGCCCCAGCACGCCGGACAGCCACAGCGCTCATGGCGGGCGGGGGAGCCGGGGACCCCGGCCTGGGGGCGGCTGCCGCCCCGGCGCCCGAGACCCGCGAGCACCTCTTCAAGGTGCTGGTTATCGGCGAGCTTGGAGTGGGCAAGACCAGCATCATCAAGCGATACGTCCACCAGCTCTTCTCCCAGCACTACCGGGCCACCATCGGGGTGGACTTCGCCCTCAAGGTCCTCAACTGGGACAGCAGGACTCTGGTGCGCCTGCAGCTGTGGGACATCGCGGGTAAGCGCGGCCGCTAGTTTCCCACTCCAGAACCCAGCCGGGCCGCCCGGCTCCTCTCTGCCTCTTTACTTTTTCTTCTCTGCCTGAACTCGTCTGCCTGGGTACGTTTAGAAGAGAGAGGCCGAATCCAAGGGCGAGATGCGATGGACGCGGTCGGCTGGACTCGGTGGGGCCCGGAGGATGGGATGGGCAGTAGGAGCTGGAGCAGGTCCTGCACGCCAGAGGGAGGCGAGGAGGCCAGGGGGCCTTTTCCAGAAGTTTGAACTCTGAATAATGCAAGTGTATCATAGATACACCAGGACTAGTTGGGAAGGCTGACTTGAAGCGGGCCGGCGCCTCTCAGCCTCAACTCAAGTTCAGGGGGATTGGGTGACTTACCTGAAGCTGCCCTCCTAGTTAGTGACACCACCAAGACCAAAAGTCAGGTTCATTTCCAGATCATTTTCCATCACCCGCCTTGGCTCTGAGACTGGCCTTTGTGAGGGAAACTCCATTCCTCAAATACTTTGCTCTCCTCGGAAGCCCAGGACAGACACTCCGTGAAGATTTGGGAAAGCTTTTCTGAAACTTTACGCTCACCTCTTCCTCTCTTCCTAAACCAACACCTAGTCCCATCCCTGGTGCCCTCGCCCCCATCACTCCTCAATACACTGTTTTTCTGCCATTTGCTTTCACTTGTTCTGTTTGAGGGGGTACATTTCCCTCTGCTCTGATTTATGAACACTGGAACTTTGCCTGGTGTAGTGGTTGGGAGTGGGCGTTTTAAGATGATGTTAACTATTGGAAAGTTCATAGAAATGGTACCAAGCCAAGCGCCAGTGGCTCACGCTTGTAATCCCAGCACTTTGGAAGGCCTAGGCTGGAGGATCCCGTGAGCACAGGAGTTCGAGACCAGCCTGGGCTGTTAGTGAGACCCTGTCTCTGCAACATACATACATACAAAAAATTAACCAGGCGTGGTCATGCGTGCCTGTAGTCCCAGCTACTCAGGAGCCTGAGGCAGGAGGATCACTTGAGCCTAAGAGAGGTCAAGGCTTCGGTGAGCTGTGTTCTCGCCACAGTACCCCAGCCTGGTCAACAGAGTGAGACCCTATCTCGGAAAAAATAAATAAATAAATAAAGTGCCAAAATTACTCTGTTCAATCATTACAGGTGTTAAGAAGCTCAGTCTGCAATAGAGCATTAGAATGGGAGCTGGTTTAGGGTTAGAGGATGCCCGAGGCCACCCTTCATTCTACAGTCCATAGAAGCCCATAGAGGGTATAGCTACCTGGCTGATAGCAGAGTTGGGGGGTGCGGATCACAGGTCTACTGTCTGTCTGCCAGGTAGTGCTCTTGTCATTTATAGCTTGTTACTTAACAAAGAGTATTAAATAATTGTAACCTATAACTCATTCATTTAAGAGCACATTTCTCTCCCTCAGATAGGAGAATACATGTATGCATCTCAGTCCCTCAGAGAAAAGGAGTAATCAGCCGGGGACTCAGCTTTTTGTTGTTGTTTGTTACCAAAAGCCAAAAGTTCGTTTGAAAAGTCATCTTTGAAGCCAGAGACTTTTTCGAAATACTTCCTGCTGTTGCACAGAACCCTAATGAGCAGTATTTCTGCTTCTTGACAAAGTCATGGATTCTAAAGGTTGCCTTACCATGTGACGGTCATTCTCCAGGAATCTGCAGCATAGCTGAGGATTTTCACAAAGATGGTTTAAAACTTTGCTTAGAAGGGTGATTGACCTTGCCTTACTCTTTACGTAAATTATGGCATTTTGTTATTAGATGATAATTGGGTCCTACTGCTAGTAAATTAGTATGAGTAACTAGATTTTTAAGAGTTTATAGTTAGAGACTTGAGAAAGTAAAAGCAGGAGTAAGATATAAATTTTCTTTCTGGTATCACCTCTTTTTTTATTAATCACAGACCTCAAATGACAGGAAGGGGTCATATCCAGTTTTTGTCAGATTCTGATACGTCTGCCTAGATGGGATATCCTTGCACTTTTCACTAAATCCAAAGCTTGAGTTTTACCAGGAAGGAAAACAGAAGTTTAAGATCTCCAAAAGGGATTTCTGGATGTTAGATATTGTTTCAACAAGTATTGTTGTCCCATACAGCAAGTACAGACCAGCAATTTACAAAATTAGAGGCAAATTTATAGAAATGATTAGGCTCACATTATAAGTAAGATTTTCAGAGATAGAATTTTAGTATAAGGAAAGTGAGGGAGAAAAATAGCTTAGTGAGAGACCAAAAAACAAACAAACTGTTTTAGAGACCAAAAAAAGCAAAACAAAAAAACCTTAGCCTAAAGTTTGGAGAACTGTATTACTAACTGTTTGGTTTGAATATTTGAGCTACTAGTGAATCTCAGCTCATACCATTTGAATTAAGTAATGATGATGTCATGAAGGCAAAGTGAAGGCTGCTCCACAAACTTCCCCCATGGCTAAGCATACTTGCCTTATGTAGTAACAAAGTTGGATCATATTTAATTCTCAAATAATAGAAATATTCTTTGATTGCAAAATAGTAGGTAGAGCCAGTTACTTGCCATAACTAAGTTAAGGTGTGGTGTTTTTACTAGTTAGGTCTTTTTTTTTTTTTTGGTTGCTTTAGTGAGAGGGCAAGATAGTAAAGAAATTATGACAAATCTCTATCCTTGAAAGCTTTGGCAAGTACGATAGACTGGAATTATCAAATGTTTTCTATACATGTAGCCAAGCAGATTCAGTTGAACTCTTCAAGTTAAGAACCATTGTGATCCTCGGATACATGAATGTGTTCTTACGGCATTGAAGGAATCTGGCTTTAAAATACAGATGCAGTTTAGTGCAGTTTTTGTGTAAGACCATTGCAGTCTCTTAACTCACACATGCTTTGGGACTGCTGCTCAAAACGTAACTGAATTCATATAAATGATATTTACCCAAGCATAAAATGCATGCTTGGAAGATATAAACTGTATAATCTATGCCTAAACTTATTTTCCATCATTTTGATTCCCATCCAAAATAGAACGTGGATCCTGATTGCCTTGCTCCATCTTATACTTTGTCAGTTAGTATACCTAGTAATCTCCCTTTGTCTTTTTTTTCATAACTCTCCTATAATCCTTCATGAGCAAGAATCTGGAATATTACCTCTTGATACTTTCCTGATTTTAAAGGTAGTTTTCAGTCACATATACACATATTTCTAATTATAAAGAAGCCGTGCTTTGAGGAATTAGTCTGTGTAATTATTTGTAGTCTCCATCTTAAACACAGATACTGCAGTTAAGTTTCCAGTGTTTATTGGTGGCTGATTACATACCAAGTCATTTACAAGGCTTTTTAAAATCTTTGTTACATATGGGTAATCTGGCTCTTGTACAATCTTGCCATCCTCAGCCTTATTCAAGCTCAATTGTTGTGCTGAATTATAAGCGAAGCCAACTGGCCCATTTACATCTGTAAATCTTTCAGTGTTCCTGAGTCCTGAGACACCTTTGAGTGCCACAGTCTGGGCTATCCATTCACAATTGTCCAGGCAGGCAGCTGGTCAGCATAATAACATATTTGTATTACTGCACATGGAAATTCCCCTGATAATGGCAGTCCTATTGCCCTTCCCTTTTGAATGTGTTACCATCCTTCATTGCCTCAATTAGCCCTCATAAGCTAAAAGATGCTCAGGTTATTAGTAGAGATAGTAGAGCACTGATAGGAAGTTCTACAACTTTCATTTGCTCTCAGCCATTTGCCATTCTACCTTTTGAGTTGAATGAATTATAGGTTTTAGTGGTCCTGTAATCTAAACACAGAAAGGTATAGTAACTTGTGTGGAGACAGGTTTCATGACTCACATATGAAAGCAATACACTTTTAAAAGGATAGCAGAATTTTGGTTTATTGGTGTCAAAACAGCATCACAAATACTTTTCAAAATTTCCAAATGTTCTGGTTATCATGAAATTAGTCATGTGTATGTTATCTTGACCTTCCAATTTTCTTAAGCTTTTGATATGAAATTTTCAGCGAGTCTCATTCTGTAATAAATGTACCCAGGATTTTGTTTTTAGTCAGATATGATGGGGACATCAGATCAGGAGATGGATTACCATTGGAAAGATAGTTTATCATAGTTCCCAAGAGTGGGGGCACATTATGCCACACCACATGAGGCCACAGGGAAAAGCAGCAGGGTTGGTCATCAGAAAGAAGGAGCAAGGAAAATGCATGAGCTGGAGCTTTTACTGTGGCTTTTGCAGGAAGGAACCAGTGAGGTAGGGTAGGCAAGCTGAGCAAGTTGAGGATTGGCTAGTTTGAATAATTTTGGTGTACTCTGGGTGATAGTAGTAGTCTCTAGTTGTCCAGTATTGGGCTGTGGGGTGATTTGGGACAGGGGATAGTGTCCCAGACTGCAGGATCCTGGTGCAAGGAGGCAGGTGGTATGGATTTAGGATTGATGGGCTGACTGATATGGTGTGCATGTCAGAGGTATGCTCCAAGATAGCTCCTTTGCTGTCTCTAGAAATTAGCTACCCGTGGGAGGATCAGTCCCTCCCCAGGCCTGCAATGCCCCAAGTTGTCAAAACGTCATAAAGTGTAGAAAAAACACCATTAATACGTATTCCTAGGCACTTACTAAAGATTGAGAGATTAAAGTACTCTTCCAAAGAAGGAAAATTTGAAGATCTCAGATTAAGTATTTCCTTAAAATAATAAGGATTTCACACTAAATCAACACTTAAGTAGTGGGCCACGTCCACAAGTTTAAGTTGTCTTAGGTTTGTAGAGCTCTTCTCTTGGATGGTGAAAGAAGTGCATAGATACAAATTTGGGGAGACTTCTGGAGGGTGAGACAAAAGAGCAAGGTAAAGTTGTTTTAGAATTCTATTCAATTATATTTTCAAAAGTTTTTTGTGCTTTTTAATAGTTGAGTAGGCTATAAACATCTAGTCTTTTCACTGTTCTTTCACGGACCTTGAGAAAGACAGACCAATGTGAAAATAAATGGATGGCAAGGGTTTAGTTTAAGGCTCCAACAAAGTCTTTCTAACTAACAGATGCCCATGTATTCTCCTCTTCCCCATGATTTTCACTCACTTTTATCCCGATATTTTTCTTAAGCATCATCTGCAGTGGTTTTCCTATTTTTTTCTTCATTCAGTTTTGTTACTCTTTTACTTTACAGATTTATTTAATCTGGGTTTCAAAAGGTGGTAGATGAGCAAAGAAGATACTTTGTACATGATTTAAGTTAGTTTTACAACTGGAGGAACTTAGCATATCTATGTGTTGTAAATCTTTGAAGCAACATAGTTAAATATAAATATAGGTTACACCTACTTAGGTTTTTGGAGAGCAACCCTTAATTTTATGTTACAATTATTATTTTTAATTCATCTTATCTTTTCCCACTCCCTAATTAAACTTCATGTGTTTTGGAAATTTTTGTTTTTTAACTTGCTTTACCATTTCTGAAGCATTAATGGATTAATTAAGAATTTATTAAAAAGAGATTACAAATTCATTAAAATAGAAAGTATATTTTGCTATTATTTTAGAAAACAAACTGTTTCCCTACATACATGGTATTGGCCTTTTGATGCTGGGTTATTTAGATTTTTTTCCCATTGCTGTCTGGATTCAGTGATTATAGAATATATAGAAAATCGGTATAACATTCAAATTATAATACGGGAACCTAAAATATCAATGTTAGAGCCAGGAGGACTTAGTGATCCCTACAGATCCCTGAGACCAGTTGGCATAGTTAAGCCAAAAAAGTTTCTTGCCTGAGGTTGCTTGAATGTTGGGTGCTTAGCATTTTGAATCCCTGGCATAGTTAGACTTTTATCAAGTTTGTTTTTCTCTGCAAACCATTTTTACAATTACAAGGTAGAGCACCTAACGAGCTAATAGTTTAAAGCTTTCACATGTTTAATTGGCACCATTTTTAAAAAGAATACTCAGGCTTTCATCATGCGGTAAACTTGTGGAGCACTCAATAATAGCTGACATTTATGCAGGGCTTACCTGGCATTTTACACTGTTTTGAACTTGAAGTATAACTTAACATGCATAGACCACCTCCACTTCAAGATATAAAATATTCTTAGCCTTCTAAAACAGAAATCAGCTACGTTTTCTATAAAGGGCCTGACAAATATTTTAGGTTTTGTAGGCCATTTCATGTATGTGGCCACTATTCAACTCTGCCATCGTAGGACAAAAACAGACATAGACAACATGTAAACAAATAAGGGTAACTGAATTCCAGTAAAATCTTTTTTAGCTGGATTAGGTCATTGGCTGTAGTTCATCAAACTGCCCTGGAAGACTTAGGCAGGGACTAAGTTTAACCCTCTCAGTTACCCTCGAAGGGAGGTATTATTTTGTATACTTTTATGGAGGTATAATTGACATACAATAAGCAGTACAATTTGAAAAGTTTTTGCATCACTGTAGTCAATATTTCAAATATTTTCATCATCACAAAAGTGTTTTTCTCTTGCCCCTTTGGAATATATACCCTGCCTTTCCCAAGGCAACCATTTATCTGCTTTCTCTTACTGTATTGTCATAGTTTGCTCTTTTTACAATTTGATATGAATGAACTCATGTAACATTACCCACTTGCGCTCTGACCTGGCTTCTTTTACAAAGCATAATGATTTTGAGATACATTCATGTTTTTGCTTGTATCCATGGTTTTGTTCCTTTCCTTTCTATTGTTGAGCTGTATTTCGTTGTATAACTAGATGATAGTTTATCCATTAATCTGTTGATTGACATTTGATTTGGCATCTGTGAACATAATGAAAGTGACTTGGAGAGTTCAAGTTGTCCACATCCTGGTCAACACTTGGTGTATTCAGACTTCTTAATTTTAGCCATTCCTGTGGGAGTGAAGTGTCAAGTTGTGATTTAAATTTGCATTTCCCCAGTGACTAATGATGTTGAACATCTTTTCCTGTGCTTATTTTTTTTTTTCATCACATACATTTTCTGGCAAACTGTTTCAATCTTTTGCTTACATTATTAATTTTTTTATCTTCTTCTTTGGGAGTCTTGAGAGTTTATATATTCTGGGTATAAGCCCTTTGTCAGATAAACAGTTTGCATTTTTTCTCCCAGCCATTGCCTTTTGTTTTCACTTACTTAACCAAGTAATTGACACTTTTGATTTGCCATATAGTGTGGTTGTTTAAAAAGTACACTCTGATGTCAGGACTGCCACCAAATTTTGAATCCTAATCTTGGGAACTAAAGAAAATTAATATTTTTAAGCTACAGGATCTTCTTTTAAATTAGTTGTCATAAACATTTCTGATTTTCTTATGCTTTACCAGAAAGGTTATATGAGTAAATATTTAAATAAGACTCACTAGTAAAAGGAAATACTTGAAATTTAAAGATCATTCCCCTCCCACCCCCCAAAAAAATAGTCACTAAAGTTTAACAGCTCTTTGTTAACTTCTAGGTTTCTGACTGCTCTTTTACTAGTTTGACACCCCACTCTCTTTTCTAAATTAAAGATATAGCCCAAAGGAATACTTTATTACCATGTAATTATCTTGAAATCTTACTTTTTCAATTTCCTAATTTAAGACTATCTTATCTTGTTGCTTAGTCCTTTCATATTCAATAATTAAAATATATGAAAATGGAAGTGGTTGGTAATGTGTGCACTGCATTTGAAATTGGAATCTGAATCATTTCAATGCGTATGTAGTCTTTCTGCAGAATAGTGATTTTGAACAGTTGGCATATCATCGAAGTTTTTATAAATGTCAACATTATGAGCCAATGAACTATATAGTTGGTCAGATTTACATTACAATAATATATGAACATAATATTAGGGTTGTTTATGTGACCATTTGTTACAGTAAAATTTAGACCTTTGGACTATTACAATACAGCTTCAGTTAAACCATATGAGGAGTCATCACAAAACAAACCTTAACTTTATCCATTCACATTTGGCCATTGTTTTATTCTTCCATTATTCCCTAAAACAATATATAAAATTATATTGCATTGTAGAGTTTGGAGAAGGAAGAATTTTATATTTTGGGGTATCTTTGCATCTGTGCAGATAAAATGTATCAATAAAATGTAGATAAAGCCGGTTGCTCATGTGTTTCAAGAGGAAAGTGTCTTTATCATAGAACAGAGTGATACATCTCCGATGTGCATTGATTGCCAATCATTTTTCCTTCACACTGTAGTCAGTAACTAAGTCAAGGCAACTGCAAGATAGTTCAGAAAGGCTAGCATCCCACTTCTATAGGTGTGGGGGAGTCAGAAGACCTGAATTCTAGTCCTGTCTTCTTTAGTCAGTGATACTGTAATCCTGGCCAAGCATCCCTTTGTCTGTTGTTACATCTGTCAGATGAAAAGAAGGATTTTCCTATGCCAAAGATTAGTACAACAGGAGATAGTAAGAGAATGCTTTGCAAAGTCCCATATAATGTACAAAGCAGATTTTTCCCAAAGTGTTTGACATAAGTTAAATTATTTTATAAGTACAATGATATTTGAAGAACCCTGGAATTGATTCTTCTTGTAACAACAAAACCAGTTGTGCTTTTTGTTCTGAAATAGATTTTCATGTGTCTGCTACTTACAGGGGTGAAATCTTGCATATTGCATCAGAAGTGGGTATGGGCTAGAGATATGAAGGAGAGATGAGTTGAGAACATGAGCTACTTTATCTCATGTCGAGCCTAAATCTATTGGACTAGCATGTTACCCACTGCACTTATCTCCTTCCTACAGGCTTCATTTCTTCTATTCTTGTCTCTTCTTCCTCTACTTCCAGCTTTGTGTTTTCCTTTAGTGCCTCTCTTCTCTTAAACTAAGGGGAGAGGAGTTGGAGTAAATGACAGACTTTGTAGCTTTAAATATTATCATATTGGTTTTATGGAGAATATGTCATACAGAACATAAAACTAATTCATTATGTACTTAAACCAAATTATCAGACACATCTGCTATATAGGTCATCGTCTGTATGGATAGCCTTAATCACACCAGGTTATGCTGCTATGGAATGGAAGATATTTGTTCATAGTATTGCTGTTGGGGTAAAAGGAGTTATACTTTAATGTAAACTCTGTCTGAATTACAAGTTTTTATTTTTTTCCTATATTTATGTCTAGGGCAGGAGCGATTTGGCAACATGACCCGAGTATACTACAAGGAAGCTGTTGGTGCTTTTGTAGTCTTTGATATATCAAGAAGTTCTACATTTGAGGCAGTCTTAAAATGGAAAAGTGATCTGGATAGTAAAGTTCATCTTCCAAATGGCAGCCCTATCCCTGCCGTCCTCTTGGCTAACAAATGTGACCAGAACAAGGACAGTAGCCAGACTCCTTCCCAGATGGACCAGTTCTGCAAAGAACATGGCTTCGCCGGATGGTTTGAAACTTCTGCAAAGGTGAGATCTGCTTTGCTTATGTATCTTTTGCTTTCTAGCTCATAAATCTAGGCTGTTACACTAAAGTATTTAGATGTATTTATGTGAGTGGTGTTTGAAAGTCTGGAAAATGAGAAGTGTAGCATGGATGTGTTATAGCTTCTTTCAGTCCACAACAGTACTGCTTTCCAAATTGGCTAATGGCTAATAGAAGGGCAGATTTTCCATAAAAACAAAAAGAGGTATTTAGAGCAAAAAGCAAATGACATTTTCTGTGAGTCTGAGTTTTTAACTGAGGTACTTCTCATGCAACTGGAGTGGATGGGGGTATTGTCAAGCACAAGAATTTTTGATTTTTGCAAAAGGCTAAATGAATAGGAAGATGCCTCTGGTGAAGATGTGTGTCACATGCAGGACCATGTGAAAAGATCAGAGAGGAGATTTATTCAGATGATGTTTGAAGAGTTTTAGGTTAACTGTGTATGAAAGGTTTGAAACAGCTGGAAAGTATCAACATTTGTGGTATGCTTCATAAATAGTAGAGTGAGAATTTTTTCTTTTGTCGATTATGGAAAGCTGAATAAAATATTTTCTGAAGGAAAAAATAAAACAGTAAGTTGGCTTTCAAAAATTTTAACAGTCTAGTGACCGGGCATGGTGGCTCCTGCCTGTTTCCTAGCACTCTGGGAGGCTGAGGCGGGCGGATTGGGCAGATCACTCGAACTGGGAGTTCGAGACCAGCCTGGGCAACATGGCAAAACCCTGTCTCTCCCAAAAAATACAAAAAGTAGCTGAGCATGGTGGTGCATGCCTGTGGTCCTAGCTTCTCGGGAGGCTGAGGCAGGATGATCACTTGAGTCTGGGAGGCAGAGGTTGCAGTGAGCCAAGATCACACCACTGCATTCCAGCCTGGGTGACAAAGTGAGACCCCATCTCAAAAAAAAAAAAAAAAAAAATTCTTAACAGTCTGGATATAGAAAAAAGGTGAAAATAATACATATATGAAATGTTTGGAGGGGGAGTTGCATGCATTAGAAGTTTCATATAAGGGGGTTAGTGACAGTCCGATTTATGTAAGAATGATGAAATGTTTGAAAAATTCTGTAATGACAGATAAACATTATACCATAAATTTGTTGAAATCTTAACACAGTTCTAGCTTTTAGTTTATGTTCTGTGGATTTCGTGTGTGTGTTTATGTGTGTTTTTATATACGTTTGCACGTATGTATGTATCACTGTTCCTCCAAATCACCCACCTCACTCTGGGTATTTATTATCAGATTAGGTTTAGCTCTACTAGAAACTTACCCTTAGAGTAAAAAAACTACTTGATGCCCATCATGATCTGCGGGATAAAAGCAAAGCAATGAGAGACTGCACAAAGGAGAGACTGCTCCAAAAATATTGAGCAATGATGGAGTGACTGGGAAAAAAAAAAGACTGTTTACGGGAGGCAGAAATGTAGACTCCTAAGCTAGAGGCTAATTGTTTGAATAAATATAGCATCTTAAAATTTCCCTCTTTAAATGAAACAGTGGTAGAAGAAAGATGAAACCCAGGGGTGCTATGTGAGCACTTAACCTGACATGAAGAAGAAAATCACAGAAAGAAAGCCTTCTTATAGAGAAGGTACCCCAGCCTCCCAAGAAGCTAGGACCACAGGCATGTGCCACCATGCCCAGCTACTTTTTGTATTTTTGGTAGAGACAGAGTTTTGCCATGTTGCCCAGGCTGGACTCGAACTGCTGAGCTGGAGCAATCTGCCCACCTCAACCCCCCAAAGTGCTAGGATTACAGACATGTTCTTCTGGACACTCATGCCCTCTGTCTGCTCTGTATGCCTATTGGGTGATTTGCTCTGCTTCCCAGGTTTGCTGTAAAAAGACCAAAAAAAAAAAAAAAAACAAAAAACGCAGTAAATGTAACTGCTTATGCGAGTGTGCATTTTGGTAGAGGAGTTTCATAAATTGTAGACAAAATTCTCCTTTAGGCTTCATTTAATCTTTTGGGTAATAAATCCAGATTTGCCCCCAGATGTAAGATGTCACGTGACAAGTAGCTTGTGACTGTGTAAGTCATCGGTTTCATTTTATTTATGGATAGGATTACACGCAGAGGTGAAAGGTGAAGCACTGTTTAAAAGTTTCAAATTTGCTCTGTGTTTCCCTACAAATATAGTAGAAGCGGCTTCTGTAGAATTTCTTTAGCACTAAACCAGGGGTGTTCCAAGAGAATAACAGTAATAAAAAAATTAGGTTAAAAATCTTAGATTTAAGGCTTAAAGTACTGCCTAAATGTCACTAGTAGGTACACTTCTGAGCTGGCCAGCAGCTGACTTCAGATCTGACTTTTGCTTGAACTGCAGTCATCTGAATTTCACTAGGAATACAGGCAAAAGATAACTTTTGCAAATACATTTCATCATTTCACCTTTATGGCAAATAATGGATTTCTAATATAAAACTTTAATAATGTTAACATATGGGAATTACATTAACATGTGACTACACTGACATTGGAATTTTAACCAGTTGCTTCCACATACAGTTAGAGAATTTTATAATTATTTGCTATAATGGAGATAGCTGAGACTGGATGTCACTTGGACGTTCAAAAGATCAATACTTGAATTAAAGTTAACACTTATCTTGGGGGTGGAGGCAAAAAATAACTAAAAAGCTGGTTTCAGTGCTGTGAAAGATGCCTGTACGTAGCCTAGCTCTTTTAGGTTCCTTGTTGTCTGATAAAGGCTTTACAGATAAGGAAAAAGGCTGCAGTGAACCTTGTAGCATTGGATTGGATTAGACATTAATATGAGCTTCAGGTTTCATATGTGTGTTTGTGTGTGTGTGTGTATCTGCATATATATGTGAGAATGTGTGTAGGTGTATGTATGTACACACACATATGTGTAAACAGATGAAGTTGATATAGATGCATGTGTGTACCATACTAGCCATACCTGCTAAGAGGGCTTAAAAGCAATGACACCACAGAACCAATTAACTTACCGAGTGCTCAAAATTCGGTTTTTAAATATCATTCTCCAGTAAAAAGAATGGGAATCCCTGGAGTAATGCCTGATTTCAGGGCGGGTGGGACAAGGAAAGTAAAGATGTGCCTGTGATATTTTGTTGTGTGAGAAACTAAGGAAGTACTCACGAAATGATAGGGACATGTCACAAAGATACAGGATACTGCCATACAAGCTCCAAACATGTAAGACAGTTTGAGCAACAAAGTAAATAATTTCTGTAATGGGTTCAACTTACAGGGTAAACTAATAATCCATGATAGAAATGAACAAATGAATAAATAAATGAGGGAGAAGGGAACCTCTTTCTAACAGTAGAATTCCAGCTAATAAATGTAGAAGGAATGGCAGAAATAAAAAGTCACCATTAAACACCACAGTAACGACTGTTGTAGGGAGGAATTAATTGATGCTAACATTAGTGGGGGAAAGTGTGGTAAGAAACAGGATATTGACATATTTGCACTAAGTACAAAGGGAAAAATAATAACTTTTCTGTGGAGAAACCTGGCAAAAACAACTTTAAGCAGTGTGCTTCCTGATAAACTGTGCAGGGTACATCACTTGTGTTTTATTTCTGCCAAAAATATATAAGTTGAATTTAATGATAAGGAAACATCAGACATCGCAGATGGAGGTATATTCACCAGCCAGTGCTCTCTGAGAGTGTCAAGGTCATGAAAAGCAAGGAGACTGAGGAACTGTTCCAGAGTAAAAGAGACCCCGGGGCGACAACAGTGAAGTGCAGCCTGTGATCCTACATCTGAAACAGGGCATTGAAATAATTGACCCAATTTGAGTAAGCTTGTTACACTAACACTGATACTACACTATTGTATAATTTCCTGATTTTGATAGTTGTATTCTGGTTATCTAAGATGTTAATATTTGAGAAATATGTGTGAATGGTAGGAATGTTTACTATTTTTGCAATATTTTAGTAAATCTGAAATTATTTAAAAATGAACAGTTAAATATTTTTTAAAATAAGCACAGTTTTTTCAATGTGTTACTTACTGTGTGTTTAATGATAACTTATAATTCAGTCACACAAATGCTGTAACAGCTAATAATTCCTTAGGGTGTCCTTAATGGACGTTGCACTGACAACATTGTTTCAGGCTAATTTATACATGACAACTAAAAGGAATAATTTGTACTTAGAGATGGAGAAGTGACATGATACATTTATCATATTTTAATGTGGTTTGAGCCCTTTCCATTTTTTTTCACAGTGTATCCTGACTGCTTGAATTAGATATTCAAGGGCCGGAATTTTTTTTATTTGGAATGGCTTCATTATATGAATTGCAGCCCAGAGCAAAGATTCATTTTCAACTATCGAGATAGCTCATTGAACCTCAGTGGCAAAGGTTTAAGATAGGAACATCAAAAAAGGTGTCCTTCATAAAAATAAGGGAATTCTTTCCATCACCACATTATTCTTTAACATTCAGCTCTAAGTGGGCACACGCTTTAGTATTAGAGGAAAGTAGCTGTGCACTTGCAATGCCACCTCTAACAAATTTTTCTGGTCCCATTCATACTGTTAATGCCTTATTCTAGGAATTAATTCTAAAATTTAACCCTGTTCTTCCTTTCTGCATTACAGGATAACATAAACATAGAGGAAGCTGCCCGGTTCCTAGTGGAGAAGATTCTTGCAAACCACCAAAGCTTTCCTAATGAAGAAAACGATGTGGGCAAAATTAAGCTAGATCAAGAGACCTTGAGAGCAGAGAGCAAATCCCAGTGTTGCTGATAGGGCTTCTGCTTCTCTCGTGTGTGCCTCAGCTCTGAAGAAGTTCCTGAGAATGGGTTATGGATGTCATGTTAGCTGTGAGTCTTCCCACAGGTGGCACTTCAAAAGGCAGCACCACTGAGTGCCTGCACTTATTTGAAAATGGAACTTTGGGAGAAGTATCCCTGCCAGTGGCTCTGTAACTTAACAGATGACAATTAGGCTTTTGTCATTGTCGCCATCATATGGAAGATAATGTTTACATCCTTTTAAACATCTTTTTATATGACAGTTCCTTAGGATTTGGTAAGCCTTCCAAGTTGTAGCTTTTAATGTAAGTGCTGGGGTGGTAATAAAATGTTACCTCCAGTCTTATGGTCATTTTGAGTCTATATTTTTGCCATCTTATTGTATCCTCACTTTTTAGGGGGAGGTTTAGATTGTATTAGCCACAAAGGCTTGAGGTTTCTCTTTAGCAATTTTCTATTCAAAACTTTGGAAAGGCCAGGTATGGTGGCTCATGCCTATAATCCCAGCACTTTAAGAAGGTGAGGCAGGAAGATCACTTGAGCCCAGGAGTTTGAGGTCACAGTGAGCTATGATTGTACCACGGCACTCCAGCCTGAGCAACAGAGTGAGAACCTCTTAAAACAAGACAAACCTTTTGAAACTTTGTGTAAAATTATTTTCCTTACATATAATTTACCCATTCATAGCTGGTGTGGCATGTGGTCACTCTTCTTAAATACATTAAAATGACCTTAATGACTGAAAAAGTACTCACAGCACATCTGCATTATGGATGTGTCCCTCTGGATATGGTTACTACCCCTTGGAAACTATATAAATGAGCATTTTTTCTTTCTCTCCCTAGTCCTTTCTCTCTTTTTCCTGTTTATGTTCATAACTGAAGGCCTATGTGATATGATGGTTGCAATTCTTTCTCAAGTTTGTGATAGCAATGGTCAAGGAGAGAATGTATTTCAAAGCATATACAATTGAATCTGAGCTTCTATAGTATGAATTGTGAAAGACACTAGGTCGTGTATGGTTTTGTATAAGGGTTGGGACATTTAAAGTATAATATCTAAGAAACTTAAGGCAGACTCACAATATTTGCATTACCAGTTAAGCCAATTAAGGAAAATAATAAATATTTTGACTGAAGTCTTACTTTTGAATTACTATAGTTCTATAATAGAAAGATAATATGGGATGTACTTTTCTGCCTTAGAAAACTTTGTTCACTTTTGCCTTCTATTTTTAAGGGACTTACTTATATCATGTCCAACTTACTGATTTAAGAAAGATTCAAACTTACTTCTTTCAAAGAAAATGTTAAGAGTTTTGTGGCACAATCCAAAGCTAATGCAAAATGAGACCTTGACCAAATTTGTTTTATACATTAAGTGAACTTGGATGGGAAAGATTCATTAATTTATTGCGAACGAAACAAAACAAAGGCCTAGGCTTGGCAAGATCTAATCTCAACACTTTGTGAGGTCAAGGAGGGAGAATCTCTTGAGCCCAGGAGTTCAAGACCAGCCCTAGCAACATAGAGAGAACTTGTCTCTACAAAAATCAAAAACAAAAACAAAACACCAAAAAACACAGCAAGAAGTGCATTTGCTTTGACAGCTGTGTTCTGGAAATAAATAATAGTTGTCATGAACCATAAAATGTAGCTCTCTTTTCATTAAACCTAACTTTTGCCTAGAAATCACATATATGTTTATATGTTACATATTTAAGAAAGAAAGAAAACCCTTTTGACCTCTTTGGATATGTATTCTACATACCTACATAGCACCAGATTTTCTGAAGTGAAAAAGTAAAAGACCCTGATTTAAGTAATATATATCTTTTAATGACTATAGCACCTGTTTTTTTTTTAATGTTGAATTAAATCTATCTTTCTAAAATATGTTTCATACTCCTAAGTTTGTTTCTACTCTAGGTACAACTTTTCAACGTTTTTTATATTTCAAAGTCCAATGGTATTAAGTATGAAATGGTGCTTAACCTCAAATGTTAGAAATATAAAGCTTATGCTAAGTAGTTTCTGAAAAAGATTGCAGTCTGCTTGGAATTTTCTTTTTTATATATTAATTTTCATTTTTACAAGAAATCCATTGTGCTTAACCCCCTAACAGTACATTCAAAATCAGGAGTATTACACTCTCATTGCCCATCTTTACAATTGTTAATAACTTCTCAGGGTAATTTTAACATTGGTAATACCATAATTAAATTGTTTTTTGTAAACATTTGGGATTCTTTCTCGTGTGAGATAGTTTATTGTATTTACCATTTCCTACAGTTTAGAAATAAAACTGAGTAACTATTTCACATTACTTTTAAAGTCTTGCCACTATTTGTTTTTATAACTTAAAATTTGAATTTAGGGTGAGCTGCATAAATAGCCAAAAGAAAGAATACTCTGACTTACTTTGAAAAATCAATTACATACACACACAGATACACATAAAAACACACACACTGAATGAGACACTGACAAGAAGTACAGAATACTTCATTAATAAAAGGGAATTTTTTTGCATGAGTCTCAGGCATCAAAAATGTACCAATATTCTAATCATATATATGTAATTTATATATGTATGTACAAATTGAGTTACATTATATTTTATATGCTTATATGTATACTTATGTGTTCGGAATTGGTGGGTTCTTGGTCTCACTGACTTAAAAGAATGAAGCTGCAGACCCTCCTGGTGAGTGTTACAGCTCTTAAAGGCAGTGGGTTTGGAGTTGTTCCTTCTTCGCCCGGGGTTTCTGGTCTCGCTGGCTTTAGGAGTGAAGCTGCAGCCCTTCCCAGTGAGTGTTACAGCTCATAACCGCAAGGTGGACCCAAAAAATGAGTAGCAACAAGATATAATGCAAAGAGCAAAAAAACTAACCTTCCACAGCCTTGAAGGGCACCCCAGAGGATTGTTGATGGTTAGCTCCGGCAGCCTGCTTTTATTCCCTTATCTGGCCCCACCCACATCCTGCTGATTGGTCCATTTTACAGAGAGCTGATTGGTCCGTTTTGACAGAGTGTGGATTGGTACGTTTAGAATCCTTGAGCTAGACACAGAGTCACAGAGTGCTAGTTAGCTAGATTCAGAGTTAGCTAGATACAGAGTTAGCTAGATACAGAGTACCAATTGGTACATTTACAACCTTGAGCTAGATACTGAGTACTAATTGGTACGTTTACAAACCTTGAGCTAGACACAGAATACTGATTGGTGTATTTACAAACCTTGAGCTAGACACAGAGTGCTTATTGGTGCATTTACAATCCTTGAGCTAGATACAGAGTCACAGAGTGCTAGCCCTCCAAGTCTCCACTAGGTTAGCTAGATACAGAGTACCAATTGGTGTATTCACAAACCCTGAGCTAGACACAGAGTGCTGATTGGTGCATTTACAATCCTTGAGCTAGGCAGAGTCACAAAGTGCTAGTCCTCCAAGTCTCCACTAGGTTAGCTAGATACAGAGTGCTGATTGGTGCACATACGATCCTCCAGCTAGGTATAAAAGTTCTCCAAGTTCCCATCCAGTTCAGGAGCCCAGGTGACTTCACCCAGTGGATGGTGCACCAGGGCTGCAGGTGGAGCTGCCCACCAGTCCCTAGCCTCCCCTGCACTCTTCAGCCCTTGGGCTGTAGATGGGACTGGGCGTCATGGAGTAGACGGCAGCTGCGGTCGCGGAGGCTCAGGCCGTGCGGGAGCCCACTGCAGGTGAGGAGCTCAGACATGGCGGGCTGCAGGTCCCAAGCTGTGCCCCACGGGGAAGCAGCTAAACCTGGCGAGAATTTGAGTGCAGCGCCGGCCGGGCACTGCTGGGGGACCCAGGGCAACCTCCGCAGCTGCTAGTCCCGGTGCTAAGCCCCTCACTGCCCTGGGCCTGCGGTGCCGGCTGGCTGCTCAGTGTGTGGGGGCCGTGCCGCCCGCGCCGGCACCCGCTGGAACTCACTCTGGCCCGGGAGCCTGGCGCGCAGCCCTGGTTCCTGCCCAGGTAGCCCCGGTTCCTGACCGCTCCTCTCCCTCCACACCTCAGGCAAGCAGAGGGAGGAGGTTCCGGCCTCAGCCAGCCCAGAGAGGGGCTCCCACGCTTGCAGTGGCGGGCTGAAGGGCTCTTCAAGCGCCGCCAGAGTGGACGCGGAGGCCGGAGGCTGAGGAGGCGCTGAGAAGAGGTGCCGAGAGCAAGGGCTGCCAGCGCACTGTCACCTCTCACTTACACATATGTACATATAAATATGTACATATATGTATATACAATACATATATATAAATATATGTATATAAATGTGTGTATATATGTATAAATTTGTATGTATAAATACGTACATATACATATGTGTAATGTGTACATATACCTGTGTAATATGTATATACACATATGTGGTACATATGTATGTATACATGTATATGCATTTTTGTGTGTATGCATATATACTATATATACGTACATAAAATACATATGTACATGTATGTATATTTATAAAGTACATATATATGCATATGTATGTAACTCAATAAGGTTTCTAAAAGTGATTGTTATCATAAGCTGTGACTTTTCAAAATGTTGTTTGGTTTCCTGAAATATGTACATAAAAGCATCCAATTTGCTTACTGAAAAATTCTGAGCCTTACTTCAGACTTGCTTAGTTTTGTAGGGATGAGACTCAGAAATCTGCTTTTACAAAAAAATCTGATGTTCATTTTGGAAAACCTCCTAGAGGAAATACCAGTAGTTACAGTATTAGTCAGTTTGAAATCTATCGTATTATTCAAAACATGAACACTATTAAATTATAGCACTTTTAATCCCATTTGTAAATCATTGTTATTAAAAAGCCTGAATATCTGGAGCTTGTAGTGAGCCAAGATCACGCCACTGCACTCCAGCCTGGGCGACAGTGCAAGACTTGATCTTAAAAAAAATAAAAATAAAAAAAGCCTGCATATCTTAAACCATGGACAGACAGTATAAATTTACTTCAATCCACTGAAGAAACAGAAGCTAAAGGGTTCTGATAGGCTGGACCAATCTACAAATATTGTTGCTAAAGCTGGTAGCCATTTGGAATAAAAAAATCACATTTCTATCTCACTGCTTCCCAAAATGATACAATATGGAAAATAGCATAAATGTAAAAACAAGAAATAAAGCTACAAAAAAATTAGCATAGATGGGAAAAAATTGATATTGGGCTAAGAAAATCCGAAATTATCACATGCTGGAAGCAAGGCGGAAAAGATAGATATGTTTGATTACAACAAAATATCTGGTATAGCAAGATGATATAAACAAAATTATAACAAGCAACAGACAAAATATTTGTAACCTGCTTAATTTTGTGAGGGCTAAGAAGAGGTGTTAAGAAAACTGAGATAAAACATGTAAAACAAGTACCTTATAGAAGAGGCAAGTCTTAGGAAACGTTTTAAGAACTCAATAAAGTAAGATGTTATTAGATTCACAAAGAATGTATAAGATTGATTATATCTCTGATATTCGTGAACATATATAGAAAAATAGGTATTCATAATCTACCATTAGACTAAATTTATTTTAATAATTACTACCAAGATTCCCCGCAAAATTGCTATTCGGTTTTCACTCTTAGTGCATGTCTTGCCAAGAAGAGGAACTGTTACTATGGGGAAATAGAATTAAAAATAAAATCCCTTTCCAGTACATAAAACTTCTTTACAAAGACAGAATAGAAAGGAAGTGGTTTTATTATTGAATAAGTACTAAACTAGAATGTGATATGCACTACAGGGAATACTGTTAAGACACTGCAAAGATGGAAATCTTACTCTTTTAATGACACACAGATTCAATAC